GAAGGTAAAACTTTAAGAACACACTTTTAATATTAGTACAAAAACAATGGGAAATATTTCTTTTACTGAAGTTTTTTGGAAATAAATTTAAGCACTAAGTATAACTTACATCAGATTCTTTTAAGCATAGGTATAATGCCTGGTCTGTGCAACTTGAAATGAATGTCTTCATTCACTATAATTTCAAAATGATACTGAGATACCTTTACATGTGTTCTTGGAAATGTTCACAATAAAAGTCTTCTCAAATCATGTTCTTTCAAATGCTATGCGTCTTCTTAGAGATCCAATTAATATATCTCTTGTCTTATTTTCACAGCAAAAGACCCAAGACTATATCCATAGATGAAAATATGGAGCCAAGCCCTACAGGAGACTTTTACCCCTCTCCGAATTCACCAGCTGCTGGAAGTCGAACATGGCATGAAAGAGATCAAGGTGAGTGATAAGAAGATGCCTCTAGGGATTTTAAGGTAAAATTGTAACTCATTACCTAAGTCTCATTTGGTCAAAGGTTTAAAATTGAACCGATGTGGATTATGTTTTATGAATCTATTTCAGTGATACTAGTTTTAAAGATAACATGCTCATCAAATGTCATCAGAGTAAAGTTACACAAAATTCCTGTTTGTTTTACTGGCTTTTTTTTAAAAAAAGGCAAAATTATCTATTAGAGCCCACTTTTATGTATGTGACCGATTGTGGTCTGTGGGCCTTGGGTGATTAAACTGCAGCAGAAAGAACTCAAGTGCTGAATGAATTGGATCAGATGTTCCTCTGGGGTTGTAGGGTGCCATTCACTGAGTTAGAAATGACTCCTACCTGACCTTCCAGAAAGTTTTCAGAGGCTTTAAATCAGACAGGAGGAGATTGCCCATCTTTCTTCCTGGGAACAGTTAGTAGATTTGAACCTCTTGCCTTTGGGTTTGTAGCATAACTCCTTATCCACTAGGTCAGAGCACCCCTATGTGAGGAGCACCCCATCTTCAGGCATTTTACAGATACTGGCAACTGAAGTACCCTTCAGAGGAAGCCATCTTTAGCTCTCTCTGGGAGAAGACAGAGTATTACTCTGAAACAAAGTCTAATATGAGGTAAATAGGTACTTTCAGATCTGAGTTGATGATCTAGTTATGCTTTCCAGATAAAATCATGACCCACTTCTAGGGCAGCTTCAACAACGAAACTTGAGAATATAGGTCTAATTAAGCCTTCTGAGTTCAGACTTCACACTATTCCTTCTATAAAGTTGATTGGATTAAATAGGTTTCATCATATACACTTGAACCTTCTCCTGTTTCCCCCAATTATGTGGAGATCATTAAACATGGAAATAAAAAATAATCGCTAATTACTGATTGTATGTACGCATTCACAGCCGCCAGTGTGTGCACAGATGCTGTATTCTTTTGGCAGCCTTTTTCTGTGTTTGAAAATCATCTCAAATGAAATTCTGAATTTTTATTAAAAGTGAAAAAAGAAAGCAGCTTTTTATCCTGGATTTTTCAGCCCCAAACTTGGGTGTGTACATGTTGAGTAATCTCAGGAGACAAACAACTCTCCAGTGTAGCAATTCAGGCTAAAGTCAAGAGTCCTTTGTTGATAATTAGGATTTTTCTACAGAGCGACAGAGAGGTTAAATAACGGTGAATAATTGTCTTGGGGGAAATCGGATTTGAGTCAGATGGTTCTACAGGACCATGCTGGGATTTTAACTGTAAAGAATGAAGTGGTGTGGGAGTATCTGACTGAGAGAAACACACCACGGGGCATAGGAGCCTTGAGTGCATGTGCCTGGGCACTGGGCCTGTGCGAGTAAGCCTAGGAAGGTGCTGTCTTCCAGGATTGAAGATCATCTGGGCACACGTGGCTCTTCTTATCCATTCTTCAAGCTGCAGGCAGTGTCATCTCTATAAAACACACGTAACTCTATGTCAGTCCTTACGCCGAGCCCTTCTGGGACTTTCCCTGGTCTCAGTAGCCTCATCTGTAGGAGGTGGACTGCTGATTCCAAAGCCACCTTCCTCTGGTGATTTGAATCCATCAGGCATTCCACAGGAGAAAGATGTGTAATCTCCTCCCATGCTCTTGGAAAACCCATTGGAGGGTCGGTTATGAGTAGGTTCCAATTTGACCTCAGTGAGTTTTTAGTAGAATTTTATGACACTGTTGTTTTGTACCATACAGTTGGAAACAACCCATAGCTGACTATCCAGTGGGTTTTCAGAGGCAGTGAGTTGCACAGAAGACTGCCCATAAATTGGCCTGATTTCTAACCATCTTTTCAGCCTTAATGGGTTTGATTCTGACTCCCTAGCAACTCTGTTATTAGGTCCTCTGGAACATTCTTCCTTTGACTCTTCAGCTAGCGAATTCTTTGTCATCATTCAGGTGTTTCACCTAAATAGTGGAATTCCAATCTGAGTTAGTTCTTACTGTTTGATATGTTGTTTCTTTTCTCTTTTGACACCCCGTAGCACTGTTCTCAAACTGTAGTTATATATTTTCTATTTGGATATATTTCTTATCTGGATATTTTGGTGCACTCTGAGGACAGGAACTTTATCTGTCTTGATTGTTCCTGTAGCCAGCAGAGGCACAGTGCCTGGCAGACGGGAGAGGTAGCATAACTATTTGTCGGATAAATGAACTTGCTAGAACACCAATCTCAGTAGGGAAGACTAAAAAATCAGAGACATTCATAAGGTTGCAGAAGTCAGAATAAAAACAAATCCCTCGATCTTTCCTATTTTATTGCTTGTTTTACTGACATTGTCAGTGTATTCTAAACAAAGCCAGAGTTTGCTTGTCAGAAAATTCTTCTGGCAACTATTCGAATGGTAATAATGACAATGTTGTGCATGTGTGGGAATGGCTGTGTTGTTCAGGAGTGTCGGTGATCTATATTATAGAGAGTGTCACATTGTAAGACTTCCTCTTTCAGCCCGTTTAAGAAAGCCGATCTCAAATCATATTAGAAAACATTTTTGAAAAGTAGACGGGAAACTGTCATTCTTTCTCATTGTGAAATCATTGTATTGTCTTGCGATTTTCTTTTGTCAGGATGACTAGAATTATTGGAGAAGTCTGTAAAGACATATTATATTAAGAGGAAGAAAGAATGATCCATTCTTAAGTGTTAATTTAAAAAAAAATCTCTGTCACTTTAATTCTGAAGACCCTGAAGACTTTGCAATGTGCACAATAAGCTATTGTGGGAAAGAAGACTTCAATGACAATGAAAAACTGAGGGCAGTACAGTACTATCTTTATACATTTGCTCATCCCAATGCAGCTCTTTTGTTCTTAGAAAATTACTTTTTAAAACATTCGCAAAGCCAAGTGCCCTGTGGTTGGACGTGTCCATCTTCAACTGTTCTTTAGACTCACCTGTCTGTTTGGAGGTTTCTAGGTACATCTTGAGGACCAAGCCAGTATATTTATAATGACTTACACCTCGTTTTGTTTCTCCCACATAGTCCCTTCACTAATTGGTACTCATAAACTTCTTACTGATTTGTGAAAATATGCTTGATTTAAAACTGGCAAAAATGTTTAAAATTTTCTGCTGATTGCTTCCTGACATGCCTTATTCTGTTAGTGTAAATTTGGCTTTAAAATCTGTTCTTCCCATAGCCCTTTTCAAAATTGATCTTTGAAATATGAAAACCAAAGATTTTCCTCACCTGAGTCAGTTGTGCTATTTGCCTATTAGTGTCCTTATCTTGAAATCATTGGAGTGACCCTTTTCTGCTTCTGTTATAAGAGGATAGCAAAAGATTTAGATATTGTTTTATTCTAATTTAGCTTACATTCATAGAAATAAAACATTGTCTTTCTATGCTCAAGAATCTGATAGAATACAAATTTCATATGTTTGAATATTTGAAATATTTTTAATAAAGACCAACTTTGTCACTCTCATAATAATAATCCCAGAATCATCTAAGTCTGAATGTAATACTCTTCAAATATTATCTAATAAGCATTTAGTGAAGAAAACATGTCACAGTAAATGTAATATACAGCTGTGTATTTCTGAAAGGAAAATGTAACAGATTGTCAGTCTTAAGAGTGTTTAAGTAACTTGTAGTCTAAGATAAAATATAAATTCTAAAAGATTTTTATGTAGTAAACTTTTATTCCTGTTTACACATTTAGGATTTGAGATAATTTTGGTTCAATTAACATTTATCAAATGCCTGATATATGCCAGGAATTTTTCTAGGCATTAGACACACAAATATGGATAAAATGAGTTTCTAGACCTTGACTTGATGAGAAGGAAGAGAATATTTTCCTGTTTATGAAAAAAAATTGACAGAATAAATCATATCTGCCAGATTATGGAGGAATCATTTCCATACTTAAGAACTAGCTTACTTTTAGGGACTTTGAGAGGTTAATTTTTACCCTCATCCAATAAATTAGCATGTTAGCAAAAACGAGTACCACTTTAGTAGTGATGTATTGTTTTGTAATTACAACTGTAAGAATCTATATATCTATATCATCTGTGTCTATATCATTTCTATCTACCTATCCATCCATCCATCCATCATCTATAAAATAAAAGTTACTATGTTCTTATGTACTGTTGAGTTAGAACCTACCCAGAGCTGTCTCTCCAGTGGGTTTTCAAAGGCAGTAAATCACACAGGAGGGGATCGCCCATCTTACTTCCATGGAGCAACTTGTGGATTCAAACCACCTGCCTTTGGGTTGGTAGAACGAGTCCTTACCACTAAGCACCCAGAGCTCTCTCTTAGGCAGTGTTTCCTGTTTGTCATTGGTACTCTCAACTCATTGCCTTTGAGTTGGAATCTACCTATCGTTGATCCTGCGGTGAGTTTCTAAGGTTATAAATTGAAGGGAAGGAAATTAACTGGCCATTTTTCTTCCTCCAACCTGCATGCTCTTTGGGTGAGCAGTGGAACTCTCAATGGACTGTGCTACCAGAGCTCCCTAGAGAGTAACAGCAACAACAAGACAATAACAACCCTAAACACACACATACACACATTATTGTTAGACACCGTCGAAGCGACTACAACTTACAATGATCCTATGAACGACACATCTGTATCTTGACATATCCTGCACCATTCTCATGATCTCTGTCATGATCAAGTGCATTGTGGTGGTCACAGCCCCAGGACATCTCATTGAGAGTCGTCTTCTACCGACTCTCAACCTTTCCGTCATATGGTCTCTCACCAAGCACTGATTCTTCTTGACGGTATGCCTAAAGTAAGATGAAGTTCTCCATCCCTACCTCTGAGGAACACTCTGCTTCTACTTCCTTCAGTATAGCTTTTTTTTGTTCTTGTGGCAGTCTATGGTATGTTCAATATTCTTTCCCAACATCACAATTCAAAAGCATTGGTTCTTCATGAGTATTCATTATTTAATGTCCAGCTTTCAACTTTCAGATACAT